CCGGCGCCGCTGCCGGCGCCGCTGCCGGCGCCGCTGCCGCCGCCGCTGCCGCCGCCGCTGCCGCCGCCGCTGCCGCCGCCGCTGCCGGCGCCGCTGGTCCGCGGGGGTGACGCGGCAGCCACAATGGGGCGGCTCAGCAGCTCGCCGAGCCGGGCACCAACCCCCTTCCAACTTACAGAGCAGCTCCCCGCAAGATTGATGAATATTATTTTGCCATTGTTATCAAGTTTGCAAAAGACTTTGCGGCCGCCGCCCCCTTGCCGCCTCCCCCCACCACTGCAGGGGGTAATTACGGAGAATAAGGAAGCACAACTGGGAACCCCTGAGTGTGAAATCCCGCTAATTATTCTTCCATTGTATCACATTTTTTTTCATCACCGCAGGACTGGGCTGCTCTGGATGGCACCCGTTTAGTAAATGTTCACATTGAAAAGTTGCAGAGCAAAGCGTCGCTCAGCCTGGAGTTGTCACCGGCGGCGTGTCGCATCCATTTAGCATTCAAAAGAGGGCAAAATTCGGCAAGCTCCTCGGCAAAACAGTCAAATCTGATATGAAGGAGGTAACGGGTATTGTGTGACCGGAACTCAACTACCCTTATACACACTACACCCTTGTAAATTTTTCTGTGCACAAACATGCACAATTATAAGCAGGCATTGCCTGACATTATATCCAGAATTTTCGTTGAAAACTGCTTTATTTTTCTACACCAAACTAGGTGTGAGTTAAATCCTATAATGCGCCAGTGCTCTGGTTCTAAACATAGTGAAAGCCTGGAAATTTTCCGTGACGCTGACGCTTTTCACTGGTCTCTGCAACATGGACTAATATACAGGCAGCAAAGAGGGAAGCGGCCTGAAGCCCTTCACTCTCTCCCTCGTCGCGCTCCAGCTTCCCCTGCCTTTGAAGGGGCATCCAGGAGCGGCATGGAATTCAGAGAACTCCATCCCAACTCGCCAACTCTTTTATCAGTTCTGTTGCGCAACGTGCCACGGCAACGTGCTGCCCCAAGTGCCGCGGCCGGGCGGGGATGTGGCGCGCGGGGCGACTCCAGCGCGGAGACGGCCAGTCCAGGAAGGCTCCGCATAAGCTCAAGCGCTTGGCGCAAAGGGATCAGCCAGAAAGTACGCACGTCATTCGCCCGTTAAGAAGCTACCCAGTGACGCTCATGTGCTAGCGCTCAAAGCGCCTGGTAGGTAGGCAACATCTGGTCTGCAGCGCATGCGTGTACTGCGGGCTGGCCTACCCCGAGTCTTGCAGGCGCCGAGCTGCCCTAATTTTGCCGAATAAATCTGATGAGATTATTTTTGGACGAAAGGAAAGGAATGCTAAGCATATAAGCATATGTTCTCGGAGCCGATCCAAGAGCAAAATGTTCTTGGGGGTGTTACAGCTGTCCTTAGCACTAATGTATTTTTTTCGTGCAATGGTATCATCGTATTTGGCGAGCGGTGGACGAATCGGGAGTCTGGTTAGTACCAGTATCGAGAACCGAACTACGTTACCTCACTTTTTCCCCTGCGTAAAAGTATACAAGGCCGAGAAGGGCCAACCTAGGCTCTCCTCGGAGCCATCATTTCATTTGTGAAATGCAGATGACATAGCGTGAAAACAGACCTGTCCACTGCTTCTGTGGAACACAAGACGTCACCGCCGCATTTCTCCCTCTTTTCTCTTTTTTTCCCTGGGCCGTGCAGACACGCAAGGGGATTGACACGAGAGCAAGACGCCGGGGAAAATATAATGGAGACCTCACAAGGACGAACAAGAAGCTCACCCCGTCCGCCCGACAACAGGGAAGTGAAGGTGGCGCTGAAGGGGGAGGGTGAGAGGGAGGGAGGGGA